ACCTCTGACCTCTGACCCTGGAGTCCTGGCTCGACTCAGCCAGCAGAGCACTGTGTGTGTGTGTGTGTGTGTGTGTGTGTGTAATAGACGACCGTGTGTTAAACATGCAGGTGTGTGTGAGTGTGTGTTGATGGACAAACTGCTGAGGTCAGCAGTAAAGAAATAAAGGAGAAACTCCACGTCTGTCTGTCTGTCTGTTTTATTCTGTTTTATTTGACATGAGCTGATCGTCTCACAGCGCGGCACGGTGGTGTGGTGGTTAGTACTGTCGCCTCACAACAAGAAGGTCGTGGGTTCGAGTCCAGGTCAGGGTGTTTGTATGTTCTCTGTGGGTCATCCCAGAAACACGCCTCAGTGGGGTCAGGGTTCATTGGCCGTAGGTTTGAATGTGAGCGTGGATGGTTGTTCGTCTCTGTATGTCAGCTGCTGGGATAGGCTCCACCCCCCTGGGAACAGGAATAAGTGGTAGAAAAAGGATGGATGGTTTGGTTTCTTTCTTTCTTTTCTCCTTTATTTTTCTCAAACTTTAAGAACAACGACAAAAAAAAACCCAACTAGAAACAAAAACGATGAACTAAATAATCCATCTGTATAAAAACCTATATATTATACACAAAGATATCAAACAGATATAAAATAAATAAAACCTAGATTAATATCTAAATATGTGACTGTGGGCTCTTACTTATTTTTTAAAATACATTTAAAATCCTTGAAAGGAAGTGGGCCGAGTCCCAAGAACTTTCCCCAAGACAAAAAAATAATAAAATAAAATAAAAAAACTGCTTATCTTTCTTTTACTCTTTTAATGAAAGGTTTCTCTTTTTTATTAAGCACTCGAAACAGCAGAAACACATTTTAACAAGGTAAAAATAATAATAAATAAATAAATAACAATAATAATGATAATGATAATAATAATAATAATAATAATAATAATATTATAACCTCTCTACTCTTTTTTACCTGCTTTATCCTTCTCACCTCTAGAGGGCAGCAGAGAGACATCTTGTCCTTTGTCACGTGACGAGGTTAGTCACTTCAGCATTAGCTTGTCTAGCTAAGCTAACAGTTAGCATTTCCTCCAGACGGTACCTGCCGACCATCACCAGAACCTCTCCCGGACAGAGGAGCTCCTCCAGCGGGGACATTTTCTTCAGCGGTACCTTCTCCTCTTCCTCCTCCTCCTCCTCCTCCTCTCCTCGCTCCTTCGGGTGTTCGTGTTTTTCCGTCCTCCTGGTCCGGACCGGCAGCTGAACCCGAACCATGTCGGCGGTGCAGCGGATGAAGGTGGCGAACGAGCGGCATAGCAAGACCATCACCCAGCGGGGACACGTCCAGAAAACCTCGGTACTGAGAGCCGGGCCTGGGGCAGACACCGGCCCGCTGCTTCTACACTCATTAATGTGTTATTAATTAGCTTTAATTCTATAACGTTAAAGTGTTTAACGGTAAAATACGACACGACCGGACGTTTCCTTAGCATTAGCCTGCTAGTCTGTTAGCATTCACAGAATATTGAGACGTGTTTGTTTTTATTAAAAATGTTTTCACGGTGTTTGAAAGAACCACAGGAGAAAAACACACAGTTAAGCTCCATTCTGGCTTTATATATCGTCCTTTAACGTTTAAATAGTGAGGTTAAAAGTAACCAAACCCCATTCTGAAATGTTACTTTTTAATCAAACACGTCGTTTCCATAGAGGCACACTCTAATAATCGATTAATCGAAAGTGTATATGGATCTCCCAGGAGCCCTACCTTAATTCGGCGGTACTGATCGAAGCTTGTTTGGTTGATTTTGAGTGGTTTCGGTCGTGTTTCTGACCCAGTATGGAGGCTGTAAACACGGCAGTGGGCGGAGGCTCGGCCGGTGTCACTCATCAGAAACTACAAACCGGTTCTGTTCGATTGAACAGGTTTGATTTTATATCATCATTATCATCGATAAGGAGAAGAAAAGATTACGAACTCTACATTACAGGGCTTTTATTTTGAAAGAGGATGAAACCGAGTGTTTTAGTATGAGTCTGTCATCTTTAACAGGAGTGTGTGAACTCTGTTACCGTCCTGACAGGGGTGTGTCAATAATAAGACTTGATAATTAGTCACTGAACAGGTCTGACTCTAATTCAGCCTGTTATTGTCAGTGTACCTCAGAAAACCCTCGGTAGAAACGGGATGAAATACTCGACAACATTTAAGTGAGACTAAAGTCACACAAACAGGAAACATCTTTAACTTCTGACCATGGGAGCAGGTCTCCCTCCATTTTACCCCCAATACTGATCGTCTCCTAAAAGGTCATATCCTCCGATCGTAGCTGATCGTAACCATTCAAGTTAACGTGTCAATTTACACCGACTTCTTTCCGTTCTTCTGAGGATCAAAATCTAAGACGCTTCGGCGAAACGTCTCAAGTTCGCCAAGAGTTGTACGTCATGGAGTCACCGTTCTGTTTATTTCTAACCAATCAAAAACTCCGCTCTGAGACGTGTTGGTTCACCTGCTCACCTGACTGCTCCTCTGTGTTTCAGCGGCCGGTAAACGAAGAGAAGTCTCCGGTGGGTCCGTGGCTGCTCGCTCTGTTCGTCTTCGTGGTTTGTGGATCAGGTGAGTCTCACCGTCCTGATCCTCTGAGGAGGTTTTTAGGGATCAGATCCAGGAGCCCCGTCACAGTAGACCCCCGTAACAGTAGATCCCACCTCAGGATAAATCAACTTTAGAGTTTTAAAATAAAAGCCTGACAAACAGCGACTCTATCAGGAGGTGTGCTGATCGTAGTGAGGTGAACCAGAACCAGAACCAGAACCAGAGTGTTCTTTGTTGTCATTGGACTGAAGGTTCAACCAGATATGAGAGCTTCTCCATTTTCAGAGCAGGAGGAACAAAAAAAAAGAAAATGGAATTAAAAGAAAAAAAATAATGATTAAAAATAATAATAAAATAATTTTAAAAATAATAATTTAAATTAACAATAATAATAATTAATAATAATAATAAAATAATTTAAAAAATAATAATTTAAATTAACAATAATAATAATTAATAATAATAATAAAATAATTTTAAAAATAATAATTTAAATTAATAATAATAAAATAATTTAAAAAATAATAATTTAAATTAACAACTATAATAATACTTATAATAATGATAATAATAATAATAAAAGTTTTTTTTTAAATTAACAATAATAATAATTAAAAATAATAATAAAATAATTTTAAAAATAATAATTTAAATTAACAATAATAATAATTAATAATAATAATAAAATAATTTTAAAAATAATAATTTAAATTAACAATAATAATAATTAATAATAATAATAAAATAATTTAAAAAATAATAATTTAAATTAACAATAATAATAATTAATAATAATAATAAAATAATTAAAAAATAATAATTTAAATTAATAATAATAAAATAATTTAAAAAATAATAATTTAAATTAACAATAATAATAATTAATAATAATAATAAAATAATTAAAAAATAATAATTTAAATTAATAATAATAAAATAATTTAAAAAATAATAATTTAAATTAACAATAATAATTAATAATAATAAAAAAATAATTTTAAAAATAATAATTTAAATTAACAACTATAATAATACTTATAATAATGATAATAATAATAAAAGATTTTTTTTTAAATTAATTATAATAATAATAATGTCACATGATCAAACCTGTTTCTAATGATGTCACTGCTCTGTTGAATATGTGTGTGTGTGTGTGTGTGTGTGTGTGTGTGTGTGTGTGTGTGTTACAGCCATCTTCCAGATCATCCAGAGCATCAGACAGGGCATGTGATGACCTTTTGACCCCGAGCTGAGCCTGTCGCACGGAGATGGGAGGGGCGTGACCTTTCCTGCCACACCCACAGACACACACACACTCACACAGACACACAGACACACACTCGCACAGACACACACTCACACACACACAGATGTTCTCTTGTTCCTGTGGAGTTTGAATCTGAGCTGTTTTTTTTTTTATTTTTTACTCTCTTCTTCTTCTTCTTCTTCTTCTTCTTCTTCTTCTTCTTCTTCCTGTCGAAGCGGATCAGCTGATTGGTTGTTGATTGTTTGTTGTCAGATGAAGTCTTAACTCCTCCTCTTCCTGTCGGTCTGAAGCTCTTGTTTACTTTCGTTTGACTCTGACCTGAGATCAGCTGAGATGAGACTCTGATTTAAAGGAGCAGACCGCTGATTTCATCTGTTTCTTCGGGTTCAGGTGGTTCGAACCTCTGACCTGGTGTCTGTTTAGTTTCTCTTTCCTGTAAAAGTTTGTGTCTGACCTCTAAAAGTGGGTTTATCAGAGAGCTCAGGAGCGCCCCCACAGGTGTAAAGCAGCGGTCTGGTTTCTCTAAATCAGTTTCAGACTTTGATATTTGGATGTAAATGATTCAAACTGAGATGAAGCTCGTCTCTCATCATCATCGTCGTCGTGGTCGTGGTTCTGAGGGTTGGTCTCCCGTCTTCAGTCAAACTCCATCCTCAGACCTTTATCTCCTCTGAACACGTCGACCTGCAGAGAGACCAACACGGCTGCTTTTTTCTGAAGCTGTCAGAGAGGTGAAGAGCTCAGCGAGCCTCCTGCTCAAACACCTGCTCGCTTTTCTACAAAATAAACCTGTGATATTTTTCTCTAAACTGTCTGTCTGCTCACACTCTCACTCCTTCACTCCCACGTTTTAACCTCCGATCGTCTGAAGGAGGAACAGTCGCTCAGGTTTGTTATCAGCCGCCTCTGAAAGATCTCACACCCAGACAAGAAGACGACGCGTCAACAAAACCCGTCAGAAAAGAGGACTTTGAGTCTCACTCAGGTCCAGAAACACTCGCAGATAAAGAGGAGAGAAACGACTTTATCGATCAGATCTGTACAGAGAAAACACCGTCAGGATGGTCATCAATAAATACTGGGGTTAAAAGGGTTCGAGGAGTTTTCGCTGTGAGATAGAAAAAGATTTTTAATGTTTTGAAAAGTTTGAGAGACGGACGTAAAAGAAGAAACTAAATAGAAGTGAAGGATAATTTAGTCAACAGGTCGGACCTTCATTTGTTTTTTAAATTTATTTAATTCAGAATTAAGTTTCAAATCTAACCTCCAAAGTCTGAATTTTACAAATGTGTCCGAGCTCCTGTTTTAGAAATAAACGTCTGAAAATCTAAAGAAAGTTTGTCGGTAAAATGTGACGATGACTTTAATCAGAAACACAGAGGAGGAACAAAAGTGGGATAAAAACAGAAACTGTTATTATTCAACTTTATTTTTATGGCAATTTTAAGACGAAATGATGTAAAAACAATTAACACTTGAACCTCCTACACACACACACACACACACACACACACACACACACACACACAGTGTGAGAATTTAAGATCTGTAGTTACAGAGACGTGACCTGACACTGAGACATGAGAGAGGAAAGAGCGACCTTCAGGAAACATGGAGATGAAATAATAAAAATAAAGACTCACACCTGATGGACTGAAACAAGAGAATAATATTAAATAAATAACTTAGAGCTCTTTATAATAAAAAGAGTAAAAACTTCTGAGGCAGGAGTTAGAAAAAGACTAAGAACAGAGATAATTAATAAGATTACATAAACAAACATTAAAACTTTGATTAAAATGAACGTTTACAATGAGAGAAAAATTATTAAATTAAAGTCTGATTTTAGAATTCTGATGAGAAAAACTGACAAACAGGATAGAGTTTAAAAGATAAATATATGTGTGTATACAGTATATATAAATATATGTATTTAAGTGTCAGTGATCAACTCTGAGTTTGGATCTGAAGTTGAAGGAAAGGAAACCGTCACTCCAGAGTCTTGAGGAGCAGATTTAGTCAGAATTAGAGGAGGAGAATATGAACTTTAACACGTTTGATTAAAAATGAAAAATCATCAAAATCAGACTTTGAGTTTTGGATTCTGAGGATTCTGGAGGGAAGTTTGGAGCTCTGAATAAAAACTCTGAGATGATCCTGACCGGGGTTTGAACTGGTCTGGTCTTGGAGGTGGTCCTCAGTCCGGATGTGGAAGAACTCAGACCGTCATCTTTAAACCCCTCAGTGCAGAAGGTGGAAACTGTTCCAGACCCTCGGGACCACCAGACCTCCGAATAACAGCAGAAAGGCGTCTTCTTCTTCTTCTTCTTCTTCTTCTTCTTCTTCCCAATGTTAGAGGAGCATTACCGCCCCCTACTGTGCAGGAGTGTGAGTCAGAGGTCCTCTTTAAAATCTCAAACTCAATCTCAATCTCCCACTGTCCTCTAGTGTCCTTCAGTTCCTCCACAGTCTCATCCTCACGTCTCCCTGTTGGATGTTTTCCTGTTAAACTCATAGTTTTGTTGAATCCAGTCTGACCAAGATTTTCCTTTCATTTCTATTCTACCACTTTGTCCTTAATTCCATGAAGATGTCTTTCTTTATTACCTTCCAACACTTTAATCACTCACTCATGTTTCTGCTCTTTATTGATGCCTAATTTACTGAATATAATTTCCATAATTCTCTCGTGTTTCACAGCTTGTTTTGTGAGTTGTTTCTCTGTGTGCCGGTTACCACATGAATCTGATGGCGTATCTATGGAAGTCAATCTGTGCCATCTGATTTTAAATTTCTAAAGCTGATTTTTTTGCATCAAAATCAGATTTTGAATTTCAAACACATTTTATTTCTGATACTAATTTTTTTTACAATGATGAAATAAATTCAGTGAGAAAAAATCAGTCTCTCAGAAATATTTGTGTAGTAAAAATTTGACTTGAAAAAACTGTCTAAAAAAATTCAACATATAAAAAAAGTGTTCAGTGTAAAACAGACCGACTCAACATCCGGATGATCAGGGAGAAGCAATCGATTCCTCAATCTTGCTTCATAATGAGACTTTTGAATTTCATGCATGCAATTTAATTTCTTACACTTATTTCTTTTTCACAATGATGAAATAAATAAAGTATAAAAAAATTAGGCTCTCAAAAATATTTGTAAAAATACAAATTTTGTTGTAATATTTGTATATTAAAAATTCAACATATAAAACAATTTTAATGTTAAAAAAATGAGTGTAAAACAGACCACCTTAACATCTGGGTAACCAGATCGACTACTACTTCCTGATTACCCGGATGTTGAGTCAGTCTCAAAATTTCTTTGACACTGACTTTTTTTTTTATGTTGAATTTTTTTTTTACTCATTTTTTCAAGTCGAATTTTTATGACACAAATATTTAGAGAGACCGATTTTTTTTAACTCTTCATTTATTTCATTATTGTGAAAAAAGTGTCAGAAATAAAAATGCATGCCTGAAATTCCATAGTTTTGAAATTCAGAGTCTGATTTTGATGAAAAAAAAATCAGTTTCATTAATTCACATTTAAAATCAGATGGCACAGTTTGACCTCCATACGAGCCTGAATATTGATTCTATAATTTCTTATAGGATACAAAAACAGAAAGTGTTCTACACACACAGAGGCTGAATAATCCGGGATTAGCAGTCGGGATGAAGATCATCTTCATCTTCATCTTCATCTTCCTCCTCTCCCATAGTGACGCGATGACGTCAGAGAGGAAGAAGATGGCGGCGGTGCTGAAGGCGGAAGGTAAAGAGCTTTAGCAGACTGCTGTGTCTCTAAACACGTCTCTGTGGGTGTTTGTGTGGATGTTTCACAGTGTTTTTGTTTCACATTAGTGCTGTTTATGTGACATTATATCTCCAGGGAGCAGCGGAGAGTGTCTGCGCCGGCTCGGTCCGGTTTAATCCGGGGTTAGCTCTGCTCTCTGCGGTCTTTTAAAAACGGTGTTAGCCGCCGGAGCAGCTCCAGTCAAACTTCACATTTACATAAAATATCGTGAATAACCCGGAGCTGTGAGGGTGGGAGTGGGCAGGTGTTCGTGTACGGACGGCCTGTCTGTCGTTTCACAGAGCTGTCGTGTTGTTTAACCAGCTAAAGATGTAACATTTGATGAGAAGCGTCAGAGCTTCAGGCCGGAGAGGAGCTCCGGGAGGCGGGCAGAGCGGTCAGGCGAGCCCGCGGTCTGAGCGCGGCCTCCGTCTGTGTGGGTGGGTGGGTGGGAAGGTGTGTGAGAGTGGGAGAATCACAGCGTGGATCAAAACACTGAACACCGAGTCAGATTAGTGTTAAAATCAGCGACTATTTCCCGGAGTTTTAATCTTTAAATTTAACTATAAAAACAAAAACTCTCTGATTTCAGTCTGCTGTAAAAATCTGACATGTTATGTAACCAGTACACACACTTATACACACACACACACACACACACACACACACACACAGACATACAGTGTCAGCTATGAACACACACTTTCTCACACTCTCCATTTAAAGTGGGTGCAAATTCAGTTGTTGCTAGGCAACAGGGAGCTATGAGGAGCCGGGCAGTTGGGTTCAGTGTGTGTGTGTGTGTGTGTGTGATGCTGGTGTCCTGTTGCAGACCTTGTTCCATATTGATCAGATTGTGACTTTGTGTGTTGTCTTCACGTCTTCACGTGTGTGTGTGTGTGTGTGTGTGTGTGTGTGTGTGTGTGTGTGCGTGTGCTCGCTCAGCGGGGCAGTGCGGGAGGCCGTGCGTCGTCTGAGACTCTTCCTGCATGGACTCGCCACCATGAGCAACAAGGAGATGGTTTCCACAGAGACAGGTCAGTCCCCGCCGCCGCCGTCATCGGCTCGTGAGACACCATTACCTGCTCGGTCCACACACACACACCTGCACACACGGTCACGGACAGGTTGCCATGGTAACTCAGCACTGGCGAGGATGTTGCCGCGGCTCCTGGCTGTGATGTCACTGGTTTTCTGTCTGTTTGTTGTCTGTTAGTTACTGACTGTGTTTAAAGACACACTAGGCGACTATCTCAGGTGTGTTTTGACCTTTAATGTGTGTGTGTGTGTGTGTGTGTGTGTGTGTGTGTGTGTGTCCACAGAAAACAAAGGACAGAGGAAGGTGTTTCTTCCTAATAAGCTGTTGGAGTGTCTCCCTCGTTTGTCCGGTCTGCCTAAAGAGCGCCTCCGCTGGAACACTAATGAGGTGAGTGTTTGACCCGGACAGACCGCTCTGACTGACCCTCCTCTTAGATCAGCGTCAACTGTTAACTGCTTCACTCAACATGAAGAGGGCGACCCTGACTGAACAGAACCAGGACCGACCCACTTAGAGAGCCGCGTGTCATCTTTGACATTTTAGACAGAGATGGACCACTGTGGGACGACAACAGTGGAGGGGGCTCCCGGAGCGAGGGCATGACTGCTGGGTTCTAGAATATCAGTGTTCCAGACTGTCAGGGTTCTGGAGTGTCAGTGTTCTAGAATGTCAGGGTTCTGGAGTGTCAGTGTTCTGGAGTGTCAGTGTTCTAGAATGTCAGTGTTCTAGAATGTCAGGGTTCTAGAGTGTCAGGGTTCTAGAATGTCAGGGTTCTAGAATGTCATGGTTCTAGAATGTCAGGGTTCTAGAATGTCAGTGTTCTAGAATGTCAGGGTTCTAGAATGTCAGGGTTCTAGAATGTCAGGGTTCTAGAATATCATGGTTCTAGAATGTCAGGGTTCTAGAGTGTCAGTGTTCTAGAATGTCAGTGTTCTAGAATGTCAGGGTTCTAGAATGTCAGGGTTCTAGAATATCATGGTTCTAGAATGTCAGGGTTCCATATTGTCAGGGTTCTAGAATGTCAGGGTTCTAGAATGTCAGGGTTCTAGATTGTCAGTTCTAGAATGTCAGGGTTCTAGAATGTCAGTGTTCTAGAATGTCAGGGTTCTAGAGTGTCAGGGTTCCATATTGTCAAGGTTCTAGAATGTCAGGGTTCTAGAATGTCAGTGTTCTAGAATGTCAGTGTTCTAGAGTGTCAGTGTTCTAGAATGTCAGGGTTCTAGAGTGTCAGGGTTCTAGAATGTCAGGGTTCTAGATTGTCAGGGTTCTAGAATATCATGGTTCTAGAATGTCAGGGTTCTAGAATGTCAGGGTTCTAGAATGTCAGGGTTCTAGAATGTCAGGGTTCTAGAGTGTCAGTGTTCTAGAGTGTCAGTGTTCTAGAATGTCAGTGTTCTAGAGTGTCAGTGTTCTAGAATGTCAGTGTTCTAGAGTGTCAGTGTTCTAGAGTGTCAGGGTTCTAGAATGTCAGGGTTCTAGAATGTCAGTGTTCTAGAATGTCAGGGTTCTAGAGTGTCAGTGTTCTAGAGTGTCAGTGTTCTAGAGTGTCAGGGTTCTAGAGTGTCAGTGTTCTAGAATGTCAGGGTTCTAGAGTGTCAGTGTTCTAGAGTGTCAGGGTTCTAGAGTGTCAGTGTTCTAGAGTGTCAGTGTTCTAGAGTGTCAGGGTTCTAGAATGTCAGGGTTCTAGAATGTCAGTGTTCTAGAGTGTCAGGGTTCTAGAGTGTCAGTGTTCTAGAGTGTCAGTGTTCTAGAGTGTCAGGGTTCTAGAGTGTCAGTGTTCTAGAATGTCAGGGTTCTAGAGTGTCAGTGTTCTAGAGTGTCAGTGTTCTAGAATGTCAGGGTTCCATATTGTCAGGGTAGCGACCTCACTCTGCTGTATTTTACTGAACACACTGCTCGGGTTGGGCACTGTTTGAATTTAAATGATTCTGATTCCTCGTTCCGAAAGATTCTCTATTCCGATTCTTTTAAAAGGCGGGAAATTAAAGAGAATTCACGGTTTTAATGAAGACGCTTCTTCATAAACTTTTCAATTCTAATATCTTAAGAACTTTACTCTGAATTTCTCTTCCCCCCTCTCTCTCTCTCTCTCTCTCTCTCCCTCTCTCTCTCTTTCTCCCTCTCTCTCTCCCTCTCTCCCCCTCCCTCTCTCTCTCTCTCTCTCTCTCTCTCTCTCTCTCTCTCTCTCTCCCCCCCCCCCCCCTCTCTCTCTCTCCTCTCTCTCTCTCTCTCTCTCTCTCTCTCTCTCTCTCTCCCTCTCTCTCTCTCTCTCTCGTCCTTGTCGGTGTTCAGCGGCCGTTTCTTCCGGTCGGTGGACTCCGGCATCGAAACTTGAAACTAAAACTGAAATTTTAAGGTTTAAACGGTTCCGGGAGAATCAGAATGTTGGTCCTGGTTCCCATCGAGACTCAAGACCTGAGACCCTTCACACCGCAGACTCAGCTGGTCTTCAGATCTTAGTGGGACTAACTCTCTCTCTCTCTCCCTCTCTCTCCCTCTCTCTCTCTCTCTCTCTCTCTCTCTCTCTGTGTTCTGTCCCTGCAGGAGATCGCGTCTTACCTCATATCATTTGACAGACATGACGAGTGGCTCTCCTGCACCTTAAAAACCAGGTACACACACACACACACACACACACACACACACACACAAAACCACAGCACACGCCTGACAGACAGAGCTGAGGGCGCCACACGAGGACGCCGTCCTCTGAACCTCTGTGTGTGTGTGTGTTTCCTCTCAGGCCGAAGAACGGCAGCATCATCCTCTACAACAGGAAGAAGACGAAGTACAGGAAGGACGGGTACTGCTGGAAGAAGAGGAAGGATGGAAAAACGACAAGAGAGGACCACATGAAGCTGAAGGTCCAGGGCATGGAGGTCAGCTCACAGACACCATCAAACATCTCCTCAGTTATCCATTCAGAGAAAACCTGAATTGACCGAGTTCAGCTTCAGGATTTCAGGAGTTTCTGATTTTAGTTTCTTTGATCCGGACCGCTCTGCTGTCCTGGATCAGGATCGGCTGAACCCCTCAGATCCACCAGGACCGTCATCTGTAGTTCAGGATCTCAACACTAGGTGTCACTGTTGTCTGTCCACATGAATCAGTGCGTTGAGTGAACTGATGATCAGCCCCTGAGTTAACCGATCAGCTGTTATCTCTGACCAGAACCAGAGCGGGTCAGGAGGAGTTCTGATAGATTCTGCTTTTCAAAATAAGAGCCTGAGAGTTCTGACTGTGACGGTCTGCTGCTGCTGTTGTTTCAGTGCCTCTATGGTTGCTACGTCCATTCCTCCATCGTGCCAACATTCCACAGAAGATGCTACTGGCTGCTGCAGGTGAGAGCGCACGCACGCACGCACACACACACACACACACACACACACACACACATCAATCTGACCCGGTTTCATCATCGTTCTTCTCTGTGTGAAACAGAACCCAGACATCGTTCTGGTCCACTACCTGAACGTGCCGTCCCTGGAGGATTCTGGGAAATGCAGTCCGCTGCTGTGCACGGTGGCCGACCGCCATGACAGCGTGAGGTGGAGCCGAGACGACCTGCTGAACCAGCTGAAGCCCATGTGTGAGTTTTTAAAACCGCAGTCATGTATGTGGGACGCTGAGTAGAAAACGTAGAAATACAGCAGTCTAGAATGTCTAAACCACCTCCTATGAACATAGAAATACAGCAGTCTAGAATGTCTAAACCACCTCCTATGAACATAGAAATACAGCAGTCTAGAATGTCTAAACCACCTCCTATGAACATAGAAATACAGCTGACTAGAATGACTAAACCACCTCCTCTATGAACGTAGAAATACAGCAGTCTAGAATGTCTAAACCACCTCCAATAAACGTAGAAATACAGCAGTCTAGAATGACTAAACCACCTCCTCTATGAACGTAGAAATACAGCAGTCTAGAATGTCTAAACCACCTCCAATAAACGTAGAAATACAGCAGTCTAGAATGACTAACCACCTCCTATGAACATAGAAATATAGCCGACTAGAATGTCTAAACCACCTCCAATAAACGTAGAAATACAAAAATGAGACATGACAAAAATGAGACATGACAAAAATAAGACATGACAAAAATATGAGACATGACAAAAATGAGACATGACAAAAATAAGACATGACAAAAATATGAGACATCAGGACTCTGAGACATGACAAAAATATGAGACATGACAAAAATATGAGACATGACAAATGAGACATAAGAATTTGAGGTGAGACATAAATAAGACATGAATCTCAAATAAGTCCAGTTGTCCTTTCAACAAAGATCTAGAAATCATAGATGCTGCATCCTCAGAGTAGATTATCTTTAACACTCTTGCTGTTGTCTTTGGGACACTTCTGTGTGTGTGTGTGTCCTTGTCCATGTGTGTGTCTCTGTGTGTGTCTCTGTGTCCATGTCCGTGTGTGTGTGTGTGTCTCTGTGTGTGTGTGTGTGTCCATGTGTGTGTCTCTGTGTCCATGTCTGTGTGTCCGTGTGCATGTGTGTGTGTGTCTCAGTCCACAGTATGAAGTGTTCGGTGGGTTCAGGAGATTTCAGTATCGAGGAGCTGGTTCAGCACATTCTGGACCGACAGAGAACCAAACCGCAGCCGCGCACACACACCTGCCTCTGCAACACCGGCGGCCAGGGTAACGCACCTTTATGATGACATCACAGCGGGGTGGGGGCGGGGCTTACTGACAGCCTGACCTGAGTGTGTTTTTGTGTGTGTTAGTGTCTTCAGGTGTGAACATTCCTCACCGCTGTAACAGCACCAAACATCGCATCATCTCCCCCAAACTGCCGCCCTCCTCCTGCAGACCCGCCCACTCGCCGCTCTCTGATGGAGGGGAGGCGGGGCGAGGAGGAGGAGGAGGAGGAGAAGCGAAACTGCCTCACCTGCAGACTCAGAGCAGCCCGGCCTCGTCTCCCTGCCCGACCTCCACGTAAGTGTCGGACGATCTGATTGGACGGTGAGCCTGTAGGGACATTTTTAACGTGTTTGCTTTTTTGTTTTCTCTCTTAGCTCCGCCTCTTCTCCCCCGCAGCCGCACAGAGCGACCATCACTGTGGGCGGCCACGGCGGCGGCTTCTACAAAGACCGCCACGGCAACCTGGCCACCGTGGCTCTGCCCCAGAACGCTGTGATCGTCATGGCGACGACGGCAGCCGTGGGGGGCGGAGGAGGTGGAGGGGGCGGAGCCAGAGGGGAGGAAGCGGGACAAGGGAGGAGCCTCTCGCTCACCCATTCTGGACAGTTACTCCTCTCCCCTGCTCTCCCCCCTCCAACAGGGAAACCCGCCTCCCCCACGCCTCCTTCCTCCTCCTCCTCCTCCTCCTCACCTGCTCCCCCCGCCCTCCCCCCTCCCAACGTCCAGGCGCCGGGTGTGACCACTCTCTCCCTCACCCTCCTCCCCTCCCCCGTCATCGGAGGCCTGCTCCTCACCCCCTCCTCCTCCTCCTCCTCGCTGCGTTCCCCTCCTCCTCCTGCTGTCCCCTCTCCTCCCTCTCCTCCTTCCTCCCCCTCACCTCCCCCGCCTCCCCAGTCTCTCCCCCCTGCGTTCGACCCTGACGCTTTCCTCAACTCCCCCAAACAGGGTCAGACTTACGGCGGCCCGCCTCTCTCCTCCTCCTCCCCCACTCCCTCCCCGGTCCTCTGCTCCTCCTCCCCTTTCTCCCCTCCCTCTCTCGCTCTCTCTCTCTCCCCCACCTCCACACCGCCCTCCTCCGTCTCCCCTCCTTCCTCCCTCTCCTCCCTTTCCTCCTCCTCTTCCTCTGATGCAGACAGAAGAGACTCAGCCGCCGCCCTCCCCTCCTCCTCCTCCTCTTCCTCCTCCTCCTCCTCCTCTCTCCCTCCTTCCCTCTCCCTCACCCTGTCCCCCACCTCCTCAGTCACCCAGCCTCTCCTCCCCCTCTGCCTAGAGCTGGGCGCTCTGGGGGAGTCTGATTCAGGGAGGGAGGGAGAGGAGGCTGGAGGAGATGAGGAGGAGGAGGAGGTGAAGGACAGGAGAGCAGCTGATGATGAAGATGATGATGATGAAGGTAGTGCTCCTCCCACCAAACTGGCTCTGCTGCAGGTGAGACTCTCTCAGGTGAGGGGGGAGAAACTTGTCAGAAACTTGTCCTCATCTGCTGCCTCCTCTTTCTGTGTCCTACAGACAAGCCACACCCCTTCCACCTCGTCTCCACGGCAACAGGCAGGAAGTACGACCGCTTCCTTACTTTTGGTCTGCCCTGATGCTACGAGCCGGCCCGGTCAGCCGGCCAATCAGATGCAACA